CCCCCCCCTGCGGCCAGGTGCCATCACCATGGAAAAGCGCATGGCCGTTGTGATGTGCCGGCTGGCCGTGCGCCCGGATGCCCCCCCGCCGGATGACTCGCCCATCGAAGTGTGGACCTCTGGCCAGCCGGGGTCGACATCGGCCAGTGCGACGCCAGGCTCGAGCGCCGACTCCTCCCGGTCGAGCGCCGGGCGATCGGGCTCCCGCTCGACGCCGGCCTCCCAGAGCCGGACCCCGCCGCTGGCGCTGGCCCCGGCCGAGGAGCGCCTGCTCAACTCCGAGACCGACCTCTTCCGGTCGCCCCCCTCGCCGGTGCTGTACATCCAGGCCTCCACGCTGGAGGACGCCCTATCCGAGGATGTCCTGGAGCAGGGGGCCCTGTCGCAGGCGGCCAGCACGCTGCTGACCCAGGCCCTGCAGTACTACCTGCTGGCCAGCGAGCGCGAGCAGAAGGCCCTGCCGGCCCTGCGGCAGTTGGTCCGGCGAATTCGCCACCAATACCTGAAGCCCTGCTGGGATGCTTTGGAGCGGGCGAACGCCGTGTGCTCGCGGCGCGAGCGCCTCGTCGGCCGGTGTGCGGTTCTCGCCAGCGGCCTGCCCCGGCCCACGGTCCGGGATCGCTCGGCTCGGCTCTTTGGCGATGAGTCCCAAGCCGGCGGCTGGGCGACCGAGCGCCAGCCGGGCCTGGAGCGGCTGGATGCCCGGCTGGCCGGATCGCGTGCGGCCACGACGACGACGACGGCGGCGACGGCGGCGACGGCGGCGACGGTGGCCGCGCGGGCCACCCAGGGGGAAGTCTCGCCCCCGGGTGGGGCGCACCCGATTGCCGGCGGTCGCTTCGGCGAGGGGGCCCCCTCGCCCGGCTCGTCGCCCGGGGTGCCATCCTCCTCGCGGCCCGAAGACCCTGTCCCCACGGGCCTGCCCCCGGCGCCGCCCATGAGCGAGTCCAGCTCCTCCACCGAGCGGTCTTCCGATGAAAACAGCCTCGAAGCCCCCGGCGCCCATGGTGGTGGCCCGGCTGCCCGGCCCAAAGGCCCGGCGGCCAGACAGGCGGGCCGGCCCCGAGATCCGGATGGTCTGCTGGAGAGCCGGCCAAAGTCCGACTCCCAGCAGGGGGAGGGGATATCATCGTGCGACGCGCAGTCGCGTCTCGAGCGGTCCGGCCTCGGCTCGCGCGGTGGTGCCCAATCAGTCACAGGTCCAGCTGGCGGCGGCGGCGGCGGCGGCGGCAACAGCAGCAGCAGCAGCCACTATCGCCCGGGGCCGCTGGCTTCCATGCAAAGGGCTCTGGAGCATGAGCAGGGACTCGGTCGGTCTCGATCATCGTTGACTTTGCACCGGAACCGCACCGGCGAGCCGGACAAGCCGGATGAGCCGCCGGTGGCCGCACGCATCCGCGGGTCCCTGGCCAAGGGCTCGCGGCTGCGGCGCCTGTCGCGGCTGTCAGCCTGGGACACGGCCCCGGAGAATGGGGGTGAGGGCCGCCATGCCGACGAGGCGGACTCGCCGAGTTCCGGGCTCGGCTCGACCGAGCCAGGCGTGGCGGCGGTCACTTGCCGGTGCGACCCGACGGCTGCCGGGTCCGGCGTGCCACGGTGCGACAATTGGACGGAATTCCGCCGGCTGACGCAGATGATCAATGAGGACGTCCCGATCTTGGTGAAGGAGCTGATCCCGGAAATCATGCGCCCGGCTTCGCGGATCCTGATCAAGGCCATGCACGCGCACTCGGCCCGTTTGCGCACCGACTACGGGGCCATCCTCGAGACGCTGACCCACAGCCGGGGGCTCTACTACAGCGGGGTGCCCCTGGCGGATATCCTTGCCGAGGAGCATGTGGCGCCGGTGGATTTCGGCGACCCCGAGCTCGGGAGCGCCGAGCGCCTGGACCGGCGATCGCGTCAGAGCGAGATGCTCCGGCGCCGGGCGGCCAACCGCCACCGGCGCCGCCCCCAGCCCGGCCGTGCATCGGGGCCCCCCGACCGGGAGCCGCCCCCTCCCGCAGGGACCCAGCCGCCAGGGCGGCCCGGCCAGGGTGGTGACGCTTTGCCGGGTGCCGAGTCGGGGCCCAACGTCCCCGGGCCGAGCCCCGCGCCGCGCACCCTCTGGGGCCGACAGGTGGTCCGTCGACCGGCAAACCTGTTTTCCGGGCGCGCCGACATTCACAGCGCCGGCCCGCCCACGCGCCGACGGGCCCCGGGTGACCATGCGGTGGACAGCGTGCTCGGCCGGGTGGCCAAGAGCCTCATTCCCGGGAGCTCCTCGGAGGAGCTGCTCACCTCGCAAAGTTCCTCCGAGCTCCCGGGCCCGAATTGGTATGGCGCCACCTCGGCCGAGGGCCAGTCCCCCCCGCCGGCGGGCCCGAGGGGGGCCGGCGGATCGGGCCCGGCTTCGGGCAAGCAGGCCCGGGCCCCGGCGGCCGCCTCGACCGTGGAGGCCCCCCCCGGCGACGATCGGCCCCACGGCCCGGCCTCCCTGTCGGGGGAGGCTCTGCCGCCGGGGCACCCGCCAGCCGCCGGTGCCGAGGCCAATGCCCGCCAGCGCCAAAAGAGTGCCCAGTCCAGCAGGACAGCCCGCCGGGACTCCGCCGGGCGGGAGTCCGGTCCTGCCGGAAAGGGCACCAACCGGTACCTGCCGATGTCGGCCAGCCGGTCGGACATCATGAACCCTCTGAGCCGGCCCGGGCACTTGGAGAAGCTCCAGCGCAACATGAGCTTCATCTGTGCATGCTACCTGCGGGCCAGGCGACGGGTGGTTCGGAGCCTGGGGCCGATGCTGCAGCAGCTGCGCATCGTCAGCCCGGTGGCCGTGCGGATGCTCCTGGTAAATCAGCCCCGCCAGACCCAGGCGGCCCGGTACCAGGTCAAGTGTCGGTATGCCATGCTGGAGGCCGAGCGAGCTGGCGAGAGTGCCCAGTCCGCCCGGGCGGCCGCCATAGCCATGCGCCCGGGGGGCTTCCTCTCCTCCCATGGGGGCCGGTCCAAGTCCACCGAGCGCCGGCTGCTGGATGACCAGGCAGGCATCCGCCAGCCGGGGGGGAACGCCGGCGCCGCCGGTGTCGCTGCCGCCCCCAAAGACAGCGACAGCCCTCCGCCGAGGGGGCCGACCATGGCAGCTGCCCCAGCCGACCAGCCGACCCTGGCGGAGGATTCCGGCACGGTCACCGGCCCGGCCACGGACACGCCGGCCCAGCCCAGCGAAGCTCCAGCCGAGGCTGGGACCTTCGCCCCGCCGGTGGCTGTGGGAGTGAGCGGGCCGCCGATACCCACCGAGGACGCTGGCCCGGCGATTGCCCCCCCGGCCAGCCCGGCGTCCCTGATGGAGGCACTCCCCGAGCTGAAGAAGGGTGGCACCGAGCCGGCGGGCGCGGCCATGTCGCCGGCACCGGCACCGGCGCCGGCCGGCGGCGACAACATGCCGACCCCTGCCTCGTCAGATGTCTCGCCACGACGCAGTCCCAGTTCCATGACCTCCCTCGACATGGTGAAGCATGTGGAGTCTCTGACCAATGACAGTGCGTCCCAGGGGGCGGGGGAACCAAGGCTGCGCCTGAGTGGTGCATACACACACACCCTCTTTCTCGCTCGCTCTCCCCCCCCCTCTCTCTCTCTCTATCTCTTTCTCAGCACCTCTGCCTGTGTCCATGTCGAACTCCCACATCCTCGTCGCTCTTTCTTTCGCGCAAGCCGAGTGTTGTATGATGGTGGGGGGGGGGGGGGGGGGGATGCACATCCCGACGCCGGGTTCCCACACTTCTCGACCCGTGGCCGGTCCCATCGTGCACGCCCACCACACGCTCTAACAGCACCACACGCCACCGAACCCGAAGCCATCCTCCCCGCGGATGATGTGCTCTTCCGTCCGGTCGAGGGCAAGCTTCGCCTTTCCGAATCCAACCGGAGCAGTCAATTGTGTAACGAGTGCGAATTCTCCCGGAGCGCCGATATGTTCATGGAGATACCGGAGCAGGCACACACCGCGGGCCCGGCCGACGGGGAGGCGCGCCACCGGTCGGCCGGGTCCAGCCCCTCGCATGTGTTCCCGAAGACCGGGAACATGGTGCGACCGGCCTCGGCATGCCAGCACGATCGCGCCCTGGCCCCGGTGTCCATGGGCCCCGGCGTACCCCCCTCGACCCCGGTGGGCATGAAGCACGGTGCTCCCCCCCGTGAGGAGGTCCCGACCGAGGTGATCTTCTCGCCCCTGCAGCCCACCCTGGATCCCTTCCACGAGAGGGACGACGATCGAGCAAGTCTGCTGTCGAAGCGACGGCGCCGGGCCCTCCTCCTGCGGTCACAGAGCTGGCCCTCGCTACTGACCCAGGCAGCCAAGCGGCAGATGGACACGGCTCCCGGGGGGCTTGTCGGGGTCGCTGGCTGGCTGCAGTGTCGGTCGGAGCCCTGGCGTGCCACCTCCAGCCACGGTGCCACCCCGCCTGGGGTGTCACCCCCGGGGGCCACTCCACCCCCCCCCTCGGCCGATGCAGGGCAGACGCCCCTCACCCGGCACATGGATGGCCGCCTGGGGCCTGTGCCTCTGGGCACGCGTCCGGCCGGGCCCTTCCTGGTTCTTGGTTCCGCGGACAGTATCACCCAGAGACCCATCATCAAGGTGCGGGTGAACGCCCCGGACCTGGCGAGGGCCGAGAGCATGGCAGCGCCCGAGTCCACGGGCGGTGCCTGGTGGCAGGGCGCCATCGCCACCGGGCTCGAGCGCGAGTGGTCCGGCCCGCATGCCGTCGCTGACGCCCTGCCCGGCGGCCAGCCGGGCCCCTCCCTCCCCCGGGCGGAGGGGGCATCCTCCGGGGACTTCTTGCTCTCCTGCCAGGAGGTCGCCGCGGCCCTGGTGTCGCGCGCAGTCATGGTCGCCTCCAAGAGCATCGCTCGGGGGATCTGGACCCGCGAGCCGAGTCCCAACCCGGTGGGCGGCTGCTTCTCCACGGTGTGCAAGCAACGCGCCCAATGCCACCCCAGCAGTATGTCCAGCCGCCAGCCCTCGTTCACGGACAAGCCGGCGTTCGCGGCCGGCGGCGCCGGCTTGCTTCAGGACTTCCGCGTTCTTCATGGGCATGGCGCCGGCCTCGGAAAGGAGCCGGCCCTCCATGCGGCCCCGGGCGCCGGGCTACTGCCCGCCGCGCCGGCGGTCGCGTCCTTTGCCCAGCTGGTCAGCGACCTCGGATCCCCCATGCCACGCCTGTCGGCCGTGCTGGTGACCTACCCGCCGCCTGAGGGCGGGCTTCCCGAAGGGCGAGTCGGCCCCGGGCGGGGGGGAGTAGCCGATGGGGGGCCGGTGGCAGCCGATGATGAAGCGGGCCTCGCATGATGGGGTTCTCTCTCCCTCGCCCCCCTTCTTTTCTCTTGTTCTCTCTCTCTCTCTCTCTCCCTCTCCTTGGCGGCTTTCTCGGTTCCCTGATTTGAGGCATGTGGACCTGTGCCTGCAGCGCGCGCGCGCGCGCGCGGGGGGGCGGAGTGGGCAGAGAATAGACCATTGCCGCTCTGCGCGCCCACCACGGCCGAAGAGGCAACCGAATTAAGCATCTTAATTGCCCACGAGCGATTCTAAACCCCGGTCCTGGGGGGGCGATCCCACGCGCGTGACGGACCGTCCCTGAGGGGATTTTCACCAAGCCACGCACCATTTTCGCCGCATCGCCCCGCTCCAGAACCCGCAGGCTGGAGGGGACATACTAATTGGGTGGATCGGTGTGGGGTGGCTTCTTCGACGGCGCGTGCACTCCGGAGTGGGACCGTGTGTCGGGGTGTGCGGACGCTCGGGCCGGGACGGCACCCGCCCATGACGAGGGGGGGGGGGGCGGGGAGGGCGCCGCGCCAGCCCGGGTCTCGGCGAGTACGTCGGGTGTCCTCCCCCCTCCCAGGGTGCTGACATGTCTCTTGGCCCTGGGTTTCTCGCGGGATTCGCGGGGATCTGGGTCCGGACACGCCCATGTGTGCATTCCGCCAGGGTGCGCAAGGGTCCCCGAGGTGCTTGGCTTGGTGTGAGCCATTTTTCGTGGCCCATCTTCCCGGCCCAGCCACCGGACTGCGCTCCTAACCGACGGAGTTTCCCTCACCCCGGGTAAATGCTCTCTCTTCTCTCTCTCTCTCTCCCCTCCTCCTTCTTGTTTCCCCTCTTCTTCTCTCTCCCCACTACGTTCACCTCCGTCAAGCTCCCTCCCTCACGCACTCACCTCCCCCTCCCCCTTGCCCTCCCGCCCCTCTCTCTTTCGCCCCTTGGGATCACCAGACTGCCTTGTGCCCTTCTCCGCACCGCGCTGCCCGCCCTCCCCTCCCTCTACACCATGTCCACGAAGTTCAACCGCCCGCGCATCGAGGATGTCCTCACCCAGCGCTTCTTCATTCGCCCCTCCTTCGACATCTACGGCCCGGTCGGTGGTCTGTACGATCTCGGCCCCCCGGGGTCTGCTCTGCAGGCCAACCTGCTCGAGGAGTGGCGCCGCTTCTTCGTGGTCGAGGACCAGATCCTCGAGCTGGACACCTCCATCATGACCAAGGAGGATGTCTTCCGGTGCGCAGCCTCGCTCTGGCTTGCCTGTGTCGTCCCTCCCGGCTCCTCCGCTGACTTTCCCCACCTCTCTTTCCCCCCCCCCCCCTCCCCCCGGGTCCTGTGCTCAGCACGTCCGGCCACATTGAGCGCTTCACCGACTTCCTCGTCCGCGATGTCGTCACCCACGAGAGCCTGCGTGCTGACCACCTTCTGGAGGGTATGCATGCGCCTCCTTCCTCCCGGCCCCCTCTCAAAGGGCCCCCCCTTTCCCGGTTTCTTGCTCACCCTGTCCAACCCCCCCCCCCCCCCCTCGGTGCTGCCCTGCCCTCGTTCCCACCCGTGGCCAGAGTTCCTCACCAACTATCTGGCCAAGGCCAAGGTCTCCGATGAGACCCGCGCCGAGATCGAGGATGTCATCAAGCGTGTATGTGTCGCAGTCCCTCTCTCTCTCTCCGCCCCCCCCTCTCCCCCTGCTCTATCCCCCGTCGAGTGACTGTTTGCTGACCCTTCCCCGCCGCCGCCTTTCAGGTTGACGACTACAGCGGCGAGGAGCTTGGCGCTGTCATGAAGAAGTACAACGTCAAGTCCCCGGCTGGCAACGACATCACCGACCCCGCCCCCTTCAACCTGATGTTCTCTTCGAACATCGGCCCCCAGGGCAACGTCAAGGGGTACGTTTCCGGCTTCTCACTGGGGGGGGGGGGTCAAGGCCCTCCCCATGCTGTTCACCCTCTCCTCGGTTCCTGACCAAGTCCTCTCTCTCTCTCTCTCTCTGTCCTCCCTCCCCTCCCACCCCTGTGACTCCGCACGATAGTTACCTTCGCCCGGAGACCGCTCAGGGGATGTTCGTCAACTTCAAGTACCTGTACGAGTACAACAACTGCCGGATGCCCTTCGCCGCGTCGCAGATCGGCCGCGCCTTCCGTAACGAGATTTCCCCCCGGTCCGGCCTCCTGCGTGTTCGGTGCGCCCACTTTCCCCTGCCCCCTATTCGCTGATGTCGCTCGCTGCCTCGCGCTTCGGGGGCTTCCATTCGCCTGTCCGCGCGCACACGCACACACGCCCGATCACCTTCTCTTTGTCCCGCTCCCCTCTAACCTCTCCTCCCCCCCCCCCCGCCCCCCCTCTTCCTCCTCCTCCTGGCGCCCTGGTCAGTGAGTTCACCATGGCCGAGATCGAGCACTTCGTCCATCCCGACCGCAAGGACCACCCCAAGTTCGTGACCGTCAAGGACATGGTGGTCCCCCTGTACCCTGCCCCGCCTCGTGACAAGTACGTGTGTGCCTGGGCCCTCGGCAGGCCTTGTGCCGTAGGGGGGTCCCTTCTCCGCGCTTCCTGGCCGGTCTTCCCCACCTGCTTGGGGGCCCCTTCTCTAACCTCCTCCCGCGCATTTCGCCGCTCTCCAACCACAGCCCCGATCAGCCCCGCGAGATGGTCCACATGACCCTCGGCGACGCGGTGTCCCAGGGCATCATCAACAACGAGACCCTCGGCTACTTCCTTGGCCGCATCTTCCTGTTCGCCAAGCGCATTGGCCTGCTGCCGGAGCACCTGCGCTTCCGCCAGCACGGTCTCAACGAGATGGCCCACTACGCCGCCGATTGCTGGGATCTCGAGGTGGAGACCTCCTACGTGCGCCCGCCCCGTCCTCTCCCCTGCCGTGCCCCTTGCCGCCGCCTTGCTGCTGTGTGGCCTGCGCCGCATGCCCGACTGACCACATTTCCATTCCCCCCTCCCCCCCCCGCTCCCCCCTCTCCTCCGTCCTCGTCTCTCCCTGCGCTCGCGGCCACAGGGCTGGGTCGAGTGTGTCGGCTGCGCTGACCGCTCCTGCTACGATCTGTCTCGCCATGAGGAGGTCACCCGCAAGGGCCTGGTCGCGGTCGAGCGCCTGGAGGAGCCTTACTTCGAGGTTCAGCGCAACCTGAAGCTGAACACCGGCGCCATTGCCAAGACCTTCCGCCAGCTGACCAACACCGTGAAGAACCACTTCCAGGGCATGGGCCAGGCGGAGCTGGAGGCCCTGCAGGAGCAGATCAAGGCCATCGGCAGCGGGAACCTGTCGTTCACCATCGACGGCCAGACTCACGAGATCGACGTCAGCTACCTGACCATCACCGAGACCACCAAGAAGGTCGAGGGTGCGTACCCCCGCCCGCCGCAGGCCTGCCGCCTTCGCGCGCGCGTGCACACACACACGCACGCGAGGCCGCCTCCGTCCCCGGTGCTCCGACTGACGATCCAATTGTTCCTCGCCCCCCCCCCCCCTCCTCCTCCCCCGTCTCCCCATGGCAGTGCGCGAGTTCGTCCCCGGTGTCATTGAGCCGTCCTTCGGTATCGGCCGCCTGCTCTACTGCATCCTGGAGCACACCTTCACCCTGCGCGAGGAGGACACCGCCCGCAGCTACTTCCGCTTCAGCCCGCGTCTGGCCCCGGTCAAGGCGGTCCTGGCCCCGCTGTCCAACAACGCTGCCTTCACCCCGCTGATCGAGAAGCTCTGTATGTTCTCCGCGTCTGCCCCCCCCGCCCGCACCCCTCCCTGTTGGCTGTGACTCTGACCATCCTCCTCCTCCTCCTCCTCCCCGCTGCTCTCCCGCCTCCCCCCCCCCCCTCCTTCAGCTGCCGACCTCCGCAAGCACACCATCATGTACCGCATCGATGACTCGTCCAGCTCCATCGGCCGCCGGTATGCGCGCCTCGATGAGATCGGTGTCCCCTTCGCCCTGACCGTGGACTTCGAGTCTGTCAAGAACGAGACCTGCACCCTGCGCTTCCGTGACGACCCGCGCAGCCAGGTCCGCATGCCGATGGCCGAGGCCGGTGCCCTGGTCGCGGATCTGGTGGCCGGTACGACCACCTGGGAGGCCGTCCTGGCCAAGTACCCCCTGCACACTGCGCAGGATGTCTAAGTGCCATGAGCATGGGACCTTGGGGGGAGGACCATGTGCGAGGCCTCTTCTGGTCGTCGTCCGTATGCGTCGGTTGCTGCTGTTGCGTGCGCGCACACCTGCTACTCTGCCCCTCTCCCCCTCCCGGTTTGTATGGCACCTGCATCCGCCCGCCTTTGCTTGTGCGTAGGATGGACGCTTCCCGCTGGGTGCGTTGCTGTGCATGTGTACGCCCTGCTGGCGCGAATAAAGATGGGGTGTCTATTTTCTCCCCCCCCCCCCCTCCCCACCTTTCAGCGTGCATGAGCTTCCGCACAGGTCAAAGGTGCACACCCGCGCACAGATGCATTTACATACACCCGCACACATGTATGTGGGTGTGCGCACCACCACAGTCCCTCCGGGAAGCACCCAGCCCCCGCTCAAGGACAAGACCGCTTGCCATCAAGAGCGTGGAGATGAGAGAGTGTGCAGAGATACATTGGAGGGGGGGGGGGGGAACGCAGGCAGGAGATGGACATTTTCGGAAGGGGAGACACGGGGGAGAGGGAGGTGCGTGTGCAGAATATCAAGGCCTCGGCAGCAGAGCGCCATGACCGGCCTTTTGCTGTTCGGTGTGCGCTCGTCATGACACTCGCGCGCCTCGCTCTCTCCCTCTGACATGGTGAGAGAGAGAGGAGCCGTGAGAGAGAAAAAAAAGGGGGAAGAAAGAGACACAGGAGCGGGAGGGGGGAGGAAGGGGCCTGCGACACAGGGAACACCTTCTCCCTGCCCCCTCCCCCCCTCCCCATGTTGCGCGCTTAGTTGGCCAGGGTCTTGGGCATGCCGGCCGCGTCGAGCAGCGAGGCCTCAGGGTCGGCGATAACCTCCGGACCACCGCCAGGCAGGGAGAAGAGCAGGCCGTCCACGGCGCCGGGGGCCGCCTGGAAGGGGGCGACCAGCTCGGCGGTGGCGGCGGGGTTGGCGGGGGCGTAGTCGGCAGCCGCCCAGGCAGGCAGGACCTCGTCGTGGGCATCGGAGAACCAGGCATCGCCGTTGGCACGCAGGCCATTGGCCGGGCGGTAGAGGGCGGCCACGGCATCGAGCCAGGCACGGCAGGCCTCGCGCTTGATGTAGACCACGGCATTGGGGCCGGCGTCGTAGGTGTACGCGGCCATGATGGCGCCCTGCTGCTCGTTGAAGCGGTGCACCAGCTGAATCAGGTCGCGCGAGGTGTCGTTCAGGTAGAAAATCGGCGGGTAGGTGTCCAGGCAGGTGGCATGGAACTGGTTGCTGTCCTCCATGGTGAGCTTGGCGAAGGCGTCGAAGTCGCGAGCGGCGATGGCCTGGCGCATGGCCTCCATGCGGGCCGGGACCACGTGCGCCGCGCGGTAGGTGTGCAGCGGGGAGGTGCGCACGGTGGTCTGCATGCCGGAGGTGGAAGAGACGGTCTTCTTCTCGGCCGAGACGATGTGCACGAAGATGGCCATCTCCGGCCAGTGGCCCTCGTCGGCCAGCTGGACGGCGTGGCTGCCGAAGTCCTCGTCCTCCGGGCTGGCGGCCTCCTCGTAGCCGTGCTCCCAGGCGACGTAGCCGCCGAAGAGCGACCGGCAGGCCGAGCCGGAGCCCTGGCGAGCGATGCCGGACAGGACGTCATTGCCGGCCTGCAGGCCGTACGCCTTGGCCAGGGAGAAGGCCAGGCAGGCGAAGCCGGAGGCCGAAGAGGCCAGCCCGGCGGCCGTGGGGAAGGAGTTGTGCGAGGCGACGTGCGCGTGCCACTCGGCCCGGGGGTTGCCCTCCTGGCGGGCAAGGCGCCGGATCAGGTCGAAGACCTTGGCCAGGCGGGTGCCCGCGCGCGAGGCATTGGCATCCTCCTTGCCGTTGAGCCACAGCCGGTCGGCCGGGTGCTCGGGGCTCAGGTGCACGGAGGTGGTGGTCCGGAGGGCCTTCTGGCTGAGGGTGACCGAGATCGAGCCGTTGGTGGGGAGGTTGCGCTCGACATCGCGCTTGCCCCAGTACTTGATGATGGCGATGTTGACCGGGGCGGTGCAGGTGACGGAGGCGGACTCGGACATGGTGTGTCGGGGGGGGGGGG